TTATATCTTTCAGAAGATTAACAATGGGGGCACATAGCTTCTGGACCTCATCAGGAGAAGGTTCTGACCGGCCAGCTGCCATCCACAAGAAGTTTTTCAGCGATTCGAGCACATGCATGACTTTATCACTCTAAAAAAAGAACTCGCTAAAATTCTTTCTCAAAAATTGTTTTGAAAATATGACCATCGTGAGAACGTCGCCACCAATTTGCTTTGAAAGACCAGCCCATCTCTCGACTACATCTGATAATGCAGAATCGTACGCCTTCACATGGGGTGGAGCGTCAGCGGAAGCACCTAAAAAGGCATTGGTTCACATAGTTCTCATTCTTCTTTGTAGATAAGTAAAATTACTCATTAATAATAAGCGCAGTTCCTTAGCGGGTAGAATGGAAATAATAGTACTCATATCTGAACCAGTTTCAATGACATCATTCAACCAGTTTCAATGACAGATTTACAGCTGACCACCTATGAACCATTTACAACCGGTTTCAATGACATCATTTATAACTGGCCATATATGAATCTCTTAGCCTACAACCACTATAAAAAATAGCTCTGAAAACCGGTACGTCATCCAGAGCAAGTTTTGAAGTGAGAGTAAAGAGTTAGACTTATGACTATTCTTACGAAATCCGCTCCGATCAGAGAGGCACGATCCCATCAGCTGCTACCTTTTGTGGCCAGTCCTCTACAAAAGTGCAAGACTCTGAGTTTCGTAACGGCTTTATACAGATACACCAGGGACAAGAAATACATCAAAAGAACCTCCTTAGTGCTACGCAGTATAAGCCTGCTTTTCATACCCATTCATATGATTAGTATGAGAACAAAAATGACATAGTCGATAGCAGAGCTGCAGTATCATACGCAGCTTCAAATAAAGTTTGAGAATACTCTTCATATTGAAAATGCTTATCAAATTCTTTTGCAGTGTTTAGAAACCCAAAGTGACCTTGCCAAGGAAACGTAGCGCGACATTCGACAGTGCTGGAAGGTCGAAGTAAGATGAAATGCTAAGAGATCAATGGAGAATGCAGTCAAAGGCAAGGCTATTCTGCCTTATTCTCGTCACCCTTTCTTCGTATATGGAGCTACTAAAAGAGAAAGGCCCTTAAAGGCAGCGCCCGGGCAAACTTTCAGCCTCGGGTTTTTCACCTTTTCTGGACCATTTCGGCGTGCTGAACACTAATAGCAACTTCAGCTACCACGAAAATGTCATAAAAGAGATTTCGGGCTTTCTCTGGCTTGACAAGGAATTTGAATTTTCGTGAAACGATCGCATGCTTTCTAGCTAGGTAGCACCCTTTTTGACGGAAAGCAAACATGAGTGGGCTGAGGAAGAGATTACCGAATGAGCGGAGTGACTTGAGAAAGGTGGGCTGACCTAAACGTCCGGTGCGATTTGTAAGCTTACCACGGCGAGACATTTGTCTGAATCTAGGGACGGCTTAGCCACAGAGTCG